GAAACGCAGTCTCGAACGATTCTGAAATGGAGCCTGGACCTCCTAGGATGACATCCCTACTTGAAGGTTCATGGTACTTACTAACCAATCATAACTGTACTTATAACCCTACTTATGATACCCCTCAAGGGCCTTATAGGGGTTATCCCAATTATAAGTAGGGTTATAAGCCCAGTTATAATTGTTTAGCAAGTACCATGAACCTTCAAGTAGAATTAAAACTGGTGAAGATACGTCAAGCATGCTGGCAGACTGAATGAAGGTCTCATGTCCTGTCTTCCGGGAAATCGTTCACGCCATGTATAGGGTAGGGAGGACTAAGCCTTCCTTTTGGGGGGTCCCTCCCAATATCCCTCCAACTTTGCCCTAACCCCGGGGGTCAAACCCTAAACCCAAAAACCCAAAAGAGCAGTGTCGAGCATGGTCGTTGGGTCTTTCTGCGCAAGAAGAGTCGCAGAGCCTCAGGTAAGCCCCCCCCCCAAAAAAAAAAATAAAAAAAAAAAAACAAAAAAAAACTTCCCAAACTTCAGCCCTGAACCCAAAGCAATCAATCCTAAACCCTAAACCCTAAACCCTAAACCCTAAACCCTAAACCCTAAACCCCTCAAACCCCTCAAACCCTGAATCCCGAAAACCCTGAACCCCCCCCAAAATCATGGCGGAGGCGCGCGCGAGGAAGTCGGAGCTGGTCAGGTCCTCCGGCCGTGGAGCCGAATCTGGAGGTATAGTGTTCTTAAGGGAGGGCTTGGGGGGTTTAGGGTTTAGGGTTTAGGGTTTAGGGTTTAGGGTTTAGGGTTTCGGGTTTAGGGGGACAAAGGGGTTCTGAAGGGAGGGGGGTGCAAGGGGTGTGTATAAACCAAGTTTCCCAATACTCCCTACTACTCCCGAAGGTGCCCCAAGCTTCACTAAGTTTCCTGAGGTACCCACCCCCCTTGGAAACCCCCCTGCCTTAAGAACCCTATAATGGGTGGAGAAGTGGGGGAAGCAGAAGATAAACTATTGATAATATGTTTGAACAAGAGTCCTAATAATACTACTACTCATAAGAATCATAATATTAATCATAATCATGATAGTCTTTTTGGCAACTGGATACTATTGTGTAGGCAAGTCGGAAAAAAAAAAAAAAAAACGTATCCGGTTATCAATCTTGGGGGGGGGGGGGGAGCTCTCCAAGTTTCTAAGGACTTAGGGTGTTAGGTGTTAGGGTGTTGGGGCTTTGGGGATGGAGGGAAGCTCTCCTATTTTCTAGGGGTTTAGGGTTAAGTGATTAAGGGGCTTTGGGATATAAGGGTCTAGGGCTTTTAGGGTTTTAGGGTCTATGGCTTGGGGATTAGGAACCCGTAAATGTAGGGAACCCAAATACACACAATCGTTGAAGAGAGAGCTGCCTATCTGAGAATGTGAGGGCTGACTACCAATCAGTGTCCATGAGCTTTTTGTCCCGTAGGGGTTATGATTTAGGGTTTAGGGTTTAGGGTTCAGGGCTGAGGGTTTAGGGTTAAGGCTACTTAAGCTCATCCTAGATATGGTATGGTGACCGGGGCATTTAAAATTCCATGAACATACACATACACACACACACACACATATATATATATATATAGATGTATTATGAGTAGCGCCTCTGGGTAAACTCTAGACCCTAAACCGTAAAGCTGAACCCTGCTACGTCCTTGCCATGCGGTTCCACGTAGCCTTCGACGACGAAGAGCACCTGTGTGCGGTGCATAGACTCTCAATTCTAGTTCCGCCTTTTTTTGACCTGTCTCTAGGGTTTAGGGTTTAGATTGTGTTTATGGCTTGCACAACAAAAGACGAAACATCCTTTCGTTTCTTGGGTTTAGGGTTTGGCGTTTAGGGTTTAGGCGAAGTTTGTTGTTTGCAGACAATCAAAAGCAACTCAGGTATCCCCCAAGGAACTACAACTGAGGGTTCTCAATTGTATGGCCACAGATGGGAAGACCGAACATACCCTCAACCCTAAACCCTGAACCTTCCTTCATGGGTTTCCCTACTACCCCCCTCTACACTACACCCCCCCCCCCCCCACCCCTAACCTTACACCCTAAACCCTCAACCCTAAACCCTAAACCCTGAGCCTTACTCGGAGCCAAGAGGTCTGCATCGTCCACATGAATGCAAGGTCCCAACCCTAATCCCCAAACCCTCCAAATTGCGTACCAAAACATAGTGAAATTCCAAATTCCAACCATCAAAGCCCAGCAACCATATTATGATAAGGGCACCCTTTTTTGGGTTGGTTACTTTATAAGGAAACCTTGAACCCCAAAAAAGGGAAAAGGGTACCACTGGGCTACCAAGCACCCGAAAACCCCATAAACCCTCAACTCCTGCCACACGCAAAAGGTACATTGCACGGGGAATATTCCTATAAACCCCTTAGAACCTTAATAAACATAATGTGTTTAATATCCTCTTGGGTTTTATATAAACAAAAACAAAAAATGATTCCCAAGGGGGATGAAGGTAAGCCCCACACCATGAGCCTGCAGATCAACAGGTCCTAGAAACGCTTCACTGACCCCCAAACCCTAAACCCTAAACCCTAAACCCTAAACCCTACACCCCCCAACCCCAAACAAAAAGAAAAACCCTGGCCTCGATGCCCCTAATCTTCCTAAGCTGCCCAAACCCAATCCCTACACCCCTAAGGGTCCATGTACCTAAATAGGGAATACTTGGGCCTTAAAGTACCTCCTATTTAGGGACTTTTGGGCCCAAGTATGTACTAATATGGTACATGGACCCTTAGGGCACTGGAGTAGACCCCGGAAACAAAAGGGATATGCTTTTTAGGTATAAGTATGCCTTCTTTGGGTTTAGGGTTTAGGGTTTAGGGTTTAGGGTTTAGGGTTTGGGGTTTAGGGTTTGGGGTTTGGGGTTTGGGGTTTGGGGTTTGGGGTTTGGGGTTTGGGGTTTGGGGTTTGGGGTTTGGGGTCTGTAGCAATAATAGGTACCCAGAACGCAATCAACCCTACATCCCCAAAGCTCAGAAATTCCTATCAACCCCCCCAACTGTGTCCCTGAGTGGCCGCGGACCACAAGGGCCGCCCAATGCAACAAAGAAGTTTAAGAAAAGGTGTGGTCAGGGACCCAGCTAAAAGCCCCAAAGCGCAATCAACCCCCCAAGCCCTTAAGATTCTATACTTGGAGGGTCGGAGGACTTAGTAAGTAGTTATCTAATGGAGTTATGAGTAGGATAACTCCAACTAGGGTCCCTTCTAGGCAACTTTTCAGTCTACTTACCGTCTACTTACTAAGTCCCCCAACCCTCCAGGTAGTCCCTTGGGAGCGGCACCAGCGGCATCGCGGGAACGAGAAAGTCCAGGAAATCCGGGGTTGTGGAAGGCTTCGTCGCAGCAATGGGGCCCAACAGCAGTGGGGCGACCTGTAAGGCGGTTGGAGCGGTTTAGGCTCATGACTTTGGTGGCTTAAGGGCCTTTGAGGCTTGTGGGGTTGAGGCTCAGGTTTCTTGAACCCTGCAACCCAGGAATCATCTAGTTGCAAGGAGCCCGATACCCTAACTACCTTAAACCTGAACCTCAGACCCCGGCATGCACAAAGCTTCCGAACAGCCGGTTGGTAGTAATTAAGCGATGCAAACCCAGACCCCCTAAACCCCCCTAAACCCGCCTAACCCCTAACCCCTAACCCCTAAACCCTAAACCCTAAACCTTAAACCCTAAACCCTTGAGGGGTTCCTAAGGAGTCTACAAGCAATGGATATAGCCCTTGAAACCCTAAACCCTAAACCCTAAACCCTGAACCCTAAGAAAAATCTTCAGCAAGATCCGGAAAATCCCGCAAAGGGGAAACGGATGAAATATCCCAAGGTCCTCACTGCGTAGTGTAGGGCACTAAGAGCTTGCGCTGAAAAACCCTAGGGGTTCGGGTCTCGGCTCTGGGGTTTTGGGTTTTGGGTGTTAGGGTTCTAAACAAGCTTCGGATTGCGGCATCCAGAGGTTTAGGCTCTGCGATCTGTCCCCTAAGCTTGCCCAAACCCCTTAGAGGATCCCCTTAAGGGTCCCTAAACCCTAAACCCTAAACCCTAAACCCTAAACCCTACACCCTACACCCTAAACCCTAAACCCTAAACCCTAAACCCTAAACCCTAAACCCAATAGTAGCACAGGTACTATTTCGGGGCTCTACTTTTGGAACGGTAAACTGGGCTTAGGGCCCTGCAGGCGGCCTGAAGTCAGGCATGAAGTGCGCACAACATCCTTAAACACCCGAAGCCCTGAAATAAGAATAATAAGAATAGTAAGAAGAATGAGAGTATTATGAATAATAAGAAGAAGAATGATAAGAATAATAAGAAAATAAGAATAACAAGAATAAAAAGAAAAAGATAAAGAGTAATAACAATAAGAAGAATCATAAGAATCATAAGAATCACAAGAATCAAAAGAATAGTAAGAATAATAAGAGTCATAAGAATCATAAGAATCATAAGAACAAAAAAACCACAACAACAGCAAATAACACGCGGAAAAGCTTCCTGAGACACTCCGCTTCCCAATGGGACCCAGGAGCCAGGGCGGCCAGCGCCAACGGCAGCTGGTCTTGAAGGGCCAAAGGCCTTTGGGGTCTTGGGGTTTGGGTTTGGGGTTTGGGGTTTGGGGTTTGGGGTTTGGGGTTTGGGGTTTGGTTTTGGGGTTTAAGGTTTAGGGTTTAGGGTTTTTCGGGTTTAGGGCTTTGGGTCTTTCGGGTTGACCTGGAACTTTATTCGTGGCTCCGCTCTCTTGGTGATTGGTGTTTGATTCCGCTTTCAAGCCATAGGAAGAAAAACAAGACATAAGGCGCCTCTACAGTTTACTGTATATTGCCATACAATGGATGCCGTCTCATATTCTTGCCCTGGACCCTAAACCCTTTTGCTTCCACTGTCATAGGACTGCCCATGGGTTGGGGCCCAAGCCGGGTCTCGCCCTCCTTGCGCTTTTTCTCCTCTTTTTGAGGAGAAGACGCCGTGACTAAGCTTCGATCCGATCCGGCGAAGGGCGGCAACCACAGTGCTCTGACTTGTTTCGTGTTAGCGGCGCCATCGCCGCTTTGGAGCACCCGGCCAAACGCACATGCGCAGACCCTGGGCTTTCCTGACACGCTTGGAACGATTGGAAAAGCACAGGCAACCATCGAACCTCGATGAACTCCCATGAGCCACGTAACTTCAACACAGTTCGAGATTCGAGACGCAACTACCGACACATCTGTCTCGGCCAAGCTGGGTTTGGGGTTTAGGGTTTCGTTTAGGGTTTACGGCCCCTCTAAATTCAAACCCGAAGCACATGTACAGAACAAACAAGGACCCCCCTCACCCAACTAAACCCCGAACCCAACAAAGAACAAAACGCAAAAAGCACGCCAAAACAACTAACCCTAAACCCTAAACCCGACACCCTGAACCCGAAACCCTAGACCCGAAACCCTTGAGTCTCCGGCCACGCCCCGGCGGCCGCGGCCCCCACTCCAAAGAGGACGAAGGCGACCACTTTGGGCCACCGGTGCGGCCTCAGGCGATTTGGGGTTTAGGGGGTAGGGGTTTCGGGGTTTAGAGTTTAGGGTTTAGGGTTTAGGGAGGTTTAGGGTTTGGGGTTTAGGGCTTAGGGTTCGGGGTTTAGGGTTTGGGCTAGGGATATTGGAGGCATGTGGGTTTTGGGGGCAGCTTTTGGGGGGGGGGGGGGTGCAGATGTTTAGGGGGTTTATAGGTTTAGGGCTCAGACCAGGCACAGCTTCAGCGGAACTGCAGGAGGGAAGCCGCTTCGGGATCGTGGCTTGGACGCTCGCCACTTGGGAGGCTGCCGGGCTTTGCGGGGACCACGCGAGGTGCAGTCGCAAGCTGGGAGGAAAGGTTTGGCCTTCCTGAGGTTTCAGTCCCATAGGCCTCGCCATAGATGCGCTTGCACCCAGCGTCCTCACACGAAATTGACTACAACAAACCCGACAGCCCCAAGCACTCTGGGTTTTGCTGCGTTGGGCTGTAGGGCTTATAGACGTTCAGATTGGGATGTTCCCCCTTATACTAAATAGGGATTAGTACCCCTTATTATGATCCCTACTAAGGACTGTTAGTATAAGGGGAACATGCCAACGCTTAGGGGGTTTAGGGGGTTTAGGGGGTTTAGGGTGGCTTGAAGCGCGCCAGATCGTCCAAAACAGCTTGATCGAGGACGTATATTCCTCAAATCATACAGAGACTAAACCCTAAACCCTAAAATCCTAAAGCCCTAAAACCACAAACCCTAAATCCTAACTCTACCGACCCCAATCCCCCCCCCCCCCCCCCAAAAAAAAAAAAAACAAACAAAAGCAAGGGCACCCTAAACCCTAAATTCTGGGTTCTAAAACCTTATAAGCCCAAATCCCTCAACCCGAGTTTTGCGTTTTGCTTCGCCCCTCCCCCATCGCGGTTTAAGAATGCTAGGGATTAGGATTCAGGGTTTAGGGTTAGGATTTAGGGTTTGGGTTTGAATTCGGGGGGTTGGAGTTTCTGGCTTTTCGGGGTATGGGGGCTTGGCATCTTGCTGTTGCGGCCGCCGACATGGAACAAACGAAAAAGGCTTGTTTTACACAGCGACCTGAACAGGTGAAGGCCAATTTGTTTGCTTGCTGTGACCGCCTTAGCCTGAGGGTTTTAAGGTCTAATGCCGTGAATCAGGGTTTCGGGCTTCAAGCACCTAAACCCCAAACCCAAACCCCAAAACCCAAAACCCTAAACTCAGGGCGTCAAGGCGCATGCCGGGATTGTCTACCACATGGGCGACGAAGGTGGCGCCAGCGACGCCAAGCAGCGAGCGGTGAACGTCGACGTCCTCGAAAAAAGGCTCCCTAAAACACCGCCCAGTGGTTGAGGTTTTAGTTCGGGTAGACTCTAGAACCCCACGAAATCGGATGAGCCCTTGTAATAAACCCTAAACCCTAAACCCTAAACACTAAACCCTAAACCCTATAAACCCTAAACCCTAGCAGCCTGAGAGTCCCCCCAAGCCCACAGAAGCCTCGCCAAGCCTGAGCCGCACCGGACAAGCTGCTGGTAATATCGGGGCCCGTTGAACCAGAATGGTGTTTCAGGTTCAGGGTTCAGGGTTTAGGGCTTAGGGTTTTGGGTTTGGGGCTTAGGGTTTAGAGTCTAGAGTTTGGAATAGGTACTTTTGGCAGTTTGTATCTAAACGCATGCAGGGATTGGAAGGGGATGACACCGGTGATGATTCGGGCTCCTGTAGTACATGAAAGGGGGCCGCAGGTGGTGGTATGGACAGGGGGAGACACTCGTGTAGATCGTCAGCCTTCTTTCCGTCTCGAGACGCAATCCGGCTTAATAGGGGCAAAGAATCGCGAAGCCCGGGGCTAGGCAGGATTAGGCTCCTTTAATGCCTTGATGCCATCCAGCTTTGCCTTGAGCTTTGCTTCAAGGTCGTCTTCGCCCACTCGGACTGCAGCCCACAACGATGACCGCAATGCGGCTGGGCTTTCCATGCCGGACACCTTCGAAGTCATCTGGGCAACCTTGGCTGACTTCTGAACCCCCTCCTAAAAAGTTTAACTGTTGGGCTCCCTCTTGTAGTTTCTTCAAAAAACCCCAAAAGGCTAAAGTCCCAAGAGCCAGCCAGAAGAAAGCCAAGCAACAATGTCGGGCAATGGGCCCAGAACCTCCGGCACGGATTCTTTCAGCTTGGCTACTGCCCACAGGCTGGTCGCCAGATCTTTCGGATTCATGCTCCTTACTTCTCCAATAACCAAGGGTAAAAAAGTTGAACGTTAATATTCCTACCAAGTAAGGAAACCCAAAAAGCTTAAAGTTCAACTAAAGGCGAAGGAAGGCTCTCCACCTCGTCCTGCAGTCGTTCCGCGATGGCTGGCACAGCCGTCAGGACCACGGGGGCTTCCTCTTGCAGTATCGCTGCTGCCCACAGGCAGCTCGACAAGGCTTGCGGGTTCATGGCCTTCGCCTGTCGCGGTAGGCGCTCTGCGAGGGCGGGCACGGCCTCCAGCACATCGGGCTCTGCCTCGTGCAGCCTGCCGGTGGCCCACAGGCAGTTCGAGAAGTGCTGGGGAATCATGCGGTCTGCCTTCTGCGGTATGCGCTCTGCAATGGCCGGGACCGCCGTCAGCACCTCAGGCGCGGCCTCGTGCAGTTTCGCGGCCGCCCAGAGTATGTTGGACAGCCCTTGCGGAGCAAATTCTGAAGCCTGGAGCTCCAGGTTTTTCGCAAGCGCTGGGACAGCTTCCAGAACCTCCGGCACTGATTCGTGCAGAGCCGCGACCGCCCAGATGCAGTTCGACAAGTCCATCTGGTTCATACTTCTTGCTTCGCCCCGTACACAACGCACGAGAGCCGGAACTGCGACAGCCATATGGATGCCCAAGTCTTCATAAATCTTGGCAAGCGCCCAGATTACGTTGGAAGCTGTGCGAGGTGAGATCTGGCGCTTCTGGAGCTTTTCTTGCAGTCTTCCCGCAAGTCTGGCCCACACTGGACTGCTGGAATCTGCAGACACCTCGCCTCACGGGACTTATAGGTACATAGGGACTATACAATATATATATATATGTATATATATATACATACACATATATATATATATATATGTATATGACATATTTGTATATATGTGTACTAATGTACGTATGTATATGTATGTATATATATATATATATATATATTATGTGTTTACATATATATACATATACATATATATATATATATACTATATATGGGGATTATATAGGGGGAAAGAGTAAGGATCCCTGCCAGTCCCTGCTAGCCGTCTCTCCTTATACCCCTTACATGCCTCTTTCTGCGAAGAAGGCGAGGCGAGTGAAGGCGGCCGAGAGGTGGAACTCGTTGAAGATCACGCCTAGTTCATGCTTGGGATAGGTTTCGGATTTCGGGTTTCGGGTTTAGGGCATTAAAACCTTAAATAGATATTCCTTATTGAGTTTAAGTACAGTACCCTCAAAAATAATAAAAAACAAAAAAACAATTCCCCCACTTTGACAAAGGCGCTGTCGACCTCCTCCTCTAGGAGAGAAAGCAGCTCAACAGTCGACGTCGTATTCCTGGGTTTATTTAGGGTTTAGGGTTTGGGGTTTAGGGTTTAGGATATTTCGACATATTGGGGCCCCCTTCTGAAAGCCCAACGAAGGAGAAAACATATCTTACACGGCCGACCGAGGCTCGTAATCTTCTGAGTCAGAACCAGGCGATACGGAGCTACGCTCCCACGAGGACCCCGACTCCGAGGTCCTGGGCGCCGCTCCCGGGCCCTTCGTAGCCTGCGCGCGATCGCAGAGTCGTGTCCTGCGCGAGCAGAAGGCCGCAGGACGGCGTGAGGGCTTCTCTCATGGCACCCGGTGAAAGTAACATCCAGAGTGCGGCTGCTTCGTAAACAGAGCAGCAGGAACCAGGAAGCCAACACCAGCGCCAGCGCGGAGAATGCTGCTGGGCGGCCCCGCCGCGCCTGTGACGCTAGACTCAGGCTCCTTGGCCACGCACGGCCATCGCCAGAGATGCCCTGCGGCACCATGGGCGTTGAAGGCAAATGCCTCCTCCACAGAAGCACCTGTCGTGCTGGTCTGAGCAAAACTGTAGACAGAGAGATGCATCGTGAACAGGACGGCCTGGATCCCCAAACCCTAAACCCTAAACTCCAAACCCCCTAAAAGCTGTCAGGGCTCAAGCCCTCAGGAGACCGAAAACCTGGGAGCCCCCACAGCCCGAAGCCCTGAATCCTAAAGTCCCAAACCCTTGAACTCCAAACTCTACACCTTCATGAGTCCCTAAGCTGGAATCCACAGTAACTATACCTGCGCCCTGCAAGTACATGCCAAAATACCTGAGAAAAAACCAAGATGGCAGTTTCCGCAAATAGGCCCCTTGATACCCCCCAAAGTTTGGGGAATTGCCTAAAAAGCCGCCCCCCCCCCCCCCCCCCCCCCCCTATGCAGCTCACTTGAGGTTTAGGATTTGGGTTTCGGGTTTATAGGATTAGGGTTGAGGTTTAGGGTTTGGGGTTTAGGAGGACCCCTGGGCAAGTCCTTGGACAACACTGCCCCCAGGAGCGCAAGAGCGGTGGCCAGGGAGGGGCACCAGGACGCCTCGCGCCGCGCGAGGGTTTGGGATTTGGGGTTTTGGGGTTTTGGGGTTGTGGGGTTTTTGGGTTTTTTGGTTTTGGCGTTTTGGTGTTTTTTTTTGGTTGTTGGTTTGGGGTTTTGGGTTTTGGGTTAGGATAAAGGTATTCTCATTGTAACTCAGTTGATGTCTCTTGTTATCAGCCTGCTTTAGAACAAGTAGGCTTAAGGCACATCGCAAAAGACCCGTGTTCACAGCCCTGGCGGCAGGACTGTAGGATCCTAAGTATGTGCGTATATGGGGGGTTCCGAAAATCGGGGGGGGGGGGGGGGGGGGGGGGGCGGGGAACCGTCTTGGGGTCCGTATAATGAAGAAATCATACGATTTGGGGGTCTATATTACGGGGCCCCTTCTTTTCGTGAACCCCCTAACCCTAAACCCGAAACACTACCCTAAACCCTAAACCCTAAACCCTAAACCCCATGTTTCGACATGTTGTGAAGTTTAGTCGAAGGTTTAAGGGTCTATCGGGTTGTTTGGCTCACATAGGAGAAGTCGCCCCAAACTGCGCCCTAAACCATAAACCCTAAACCCTAAACCCAAAACCCTAAAGCCCCCCTGCCAGGAGTGTGGCAGGCGCAGCCAGGAGGGCTCTCAGGGCGCCGGCACGCAGCGGCGCGAAAAATCGGCAGCCTCATCTCACGCCCTTTAGGGTTTAGGGTTTAGGGTTTAGGGTTTAGGGTTTAGGGTTTAGGGTTTAGGGTTTAGGGTTTGGGTTTAGGGGTGCCTGGGACCCTCTTACCTACAGCTTTAGGGGTTCTTCCTACGAACTACTACTAAACTAAACTGTAGGTAAATAGGGCCCCACGTAAACCCGAAACACCCTATAACCGCCATAAAGCCAATAAACCCCATAAACCCTATTAAACCCCATAAAGCCCTATAAACCCCATAAACCGTACTAAACCCCTTAAACCCTATAAAGCCAATAAACCCTAACACCAAAACACCCAAGCAAGGGATTGGGCTCACATCCGCACAAAGCCAACCCGCCCAAAATGTCCCCCTAAAGCCCTGAACGAGTTTGGCTTTCAAGTTGAGCGTGAACCCTTCAGGCGTTCCAGGGGTTTAGGGTACAAGGTGTAGGATTTACTGTGGCGCATGCCAGCCAGGAATATCAAGGTCCAAACCCGCCTTTAACCCAGTTCAACCCGAAAACCCTAAACCCCAAACCCTAAAACACTAAAACCCTAAAACCCCCCAACCCTAAAACCCTAAAACCCAAAAGCCTATAACCCTAAAACCCTAAACCCTGAACCCTAAACCCTAAAAGGAAACCTAAACCCTAAACCCTAAACCCTAAACCCTAAACCCTAAACCCTAAACCCTGAACCCTAAACCCTAAACCCTAAACCCTGAACCCTGAACCCTAAACCCTAAACCCTAAACCCTAAACCCTAAACCCCTAAACCCGACCCTAAACAAACAATGGAAAATCCCCACGGCCCGTTTGCAAACCCTGAACCTTGAGCCTTAAACCCCCTGACCCCTAAACCCTACTAAACCCTAAACCCCAAACCCCTAACCCCAAACCCGAAACTCGAAACCCGAATCCCCACGCCAAACCCCAAACCCCAAACCCCAAACCCGAAACCCGAAACCCGAAACCCGAAACCCGAAACCCCAAACCCCAAACCCCCAAACCCCAAAACCCGAAACCCCAAACCCGAAACAAGAAACCCGAAACCCTAAAACCCTAAACCCGAAAGCCGAAACCGAAGCGTATCTCTGAGGCGTGTGGCCATCCCCGCCACTCAGAAGCACACGAACGTCCGGTTCGACGCAGCAGTTGAGGCAGTGTAGCCAGCCCTGGCTCGATGGATTCAGGGGGTGACTTGTTTTATAGGGTTCAGGGTTTAGGGTTTAGGGCTACAGGGTTTAGGGTTACAGGGTTTAGGGATAACGGATTTAGGGCTTGGGGTGCAGGGTTTGGGTTGTGGGATTTAGGATCTACGTTCTCACGCGACACATTTTTGGAGGTTTTTAAGGCCACTCTCTTTGCTCAGAGAAGAATTTTGGGATTTGGATCTTTTGGGGGAGGTCGCTCATAAACAGAAACTAATGTTGACCTCGTAATAATAAACCCCCCCCCCTCAATCAAACCCCCCCAAATAGAGTGGGGGCCCCTTTGAATAAGGATTCCTTTCCTTAGAGAGACTTAGAGAGGATCAGAGAGAATCACTCAGGATTCCATTCCTTTCCTTAGAGAGAATTAGAGAGGATCAGAGAGAATCAGAGAGGATCAGAAAGGATCAGAGAGAATCAGAGAGGATCATAGGGAATCAGAGAGAATCAGAAAGAAGGGCTGGGAGGGTTCTACGGGTCAGGGCTTGGTGAATACCCTAAACCCTAAACCCTAAACCCTAAACCCTAACCCTAAACCCTAAAGAGCTTTTTTTCAGGCAGGAATTTCCAGGAACTTTATTCCGAGGGGCAGATCTTTCAGGATTATTTCCAGGGCACCGGCCTCCAAAGCTACCCCCTTTGCCAGAAAGATTTTTTCAATCCTCTAGTAAGGCTCTCAAATAAAAAACAGCAAGTTTCTCAGGAGTTTGGTTTTCAGGTTTCTCTTCGAAATCTGATCGCTTCATGTTTTCCTATAATTAAATCCTAAACCCTAAACCCTTAACCCTAATTAAACCCCAGACCCTAAACCCTAAACCCTAAGACTTTAATTGCAGGGGCCCCTGGATTTAGAGACCAGGCCATACCCTTATCCCTAAACCCTAACCCTAACCCTAAACCCTTAACCCTAATTCAATAAGACTCCACAACACCTAAGTAAACCTAAGCCATGAACCCTAAACCTAATGAAACCATGAAGCGATCATTTGAAGGTTTTTTTTCAGGCAGGAATTTCCAGGAACTTTATTCCGAGGGGCAGTTCTTTCAGGATTATTTCCAGGGCACCGGCCTCCAAAGCTACCCCCTTTGCCAGAAAGATTTTTTCAATCCTCTAGTAAGGCTCTCAAATAAAAATCTGCAAGTTTCTGATGAGTTTGGTTTTCAGGTTTCTCTTCGAAATCTGATCGCTTCATGTTTTCCGAATTAAATCCTAAACCATAAAACCCTTAACCCTCCCTCTCTTTTCTCTCCATAAACAAACAAAGAACAACGGACACCCCCAAAAAAAAACAAGCCCCGACTGGCGTACTTTATTCCCAGGGCTTTATTATTGCGGCCGGGACACCTGGCGCACTTTAATTTACGGGGGTTTAGTAATACGAGGTTAACATTAGCCCGAAACCCCTAAACCCTGAACCCTAAAACCCTAGACCCAAGAAACCCCTTTTAGTAAAAGGGTGCCCCTTTTTTTCGTTGACAGGGGCTTATGAGGGAACCTAGTTCGAGGTTCACGATACTCATTAACCAATTCAAACTGTACTTATGACTGTACTTAAAACCATGTTTGCGCACTGAAGGGACTGATAAGTGGGTCGCAAAGTACAGTCATAATTGGTTGATAAGTACCATGAATCTCCAAGTACACCCTAAGAAAAGGGAACAAGGGCACTCTGACCAGCATGCTACGATACAGGAGGCCACCGCAGAAGCATCAGCCCCAAACACTAAACCCTAAACCCTAAACCCTAAAAATCCTAAAACCTAAACCCTAAACCCTAAACCCTAAACCTGAACCCTGAACCCTAAACCCTAAACCCCGGGTCCTGGATCCACATCCCGGAGGAGAAGCGGTTCACCGTCAGCCTGTGTCCAGATCTTCCAACACAAATGCCAAATTCGGGTTGAGGAAAGGTTAAGGGTTAAGGGTTAAGGGTTAAGGGTTTAGGGTTTAGGGTTTAGGGCTTGGGGTTTAGGGGTTTAGGGTATATGGTCTAGGGGTTTAGGGCTTCAGAGGTTTAGTGTTTTGGGTTCACTCTTTAGGCTGTAGGCCCACACCCCAAACCCCAAACCCTAATCCCCAAACCCCAAACCCTAAACCACAAACCCCTAAACCAAACCCTAAACCTCAAACCTGAACCCTGAACCCGAAACCCGAAACCCTAAACCTCAAACCCTAAACCCAAAACCCTAAACCCTAAACCCTAAACCCTAAACGGAGCTCCTTGAGGCGCCCTGCGCCAGGACGCCGAAGGCCGCCGCGGCGCAGCAAAAGGCGCAGAGGCGCCGGAGGCAGAGCCCGGCCGCGCGCCAGGCCTGCGGTTTGGGGGTTTAGGGTTTAGGGTTTAGGGTTTAGGGTTTAGGGTTTAGGGTTTAGGGTTTAGGGTTAGGCGGGTTAGGGTTTAGGGTTTAGGGTTTAGGATTTAGGGGTTTAGGGTTTAGGGTTTAGGGTTTTGGGGTTTAGGGTTTAGGGTTTAAGGTTTAGGGTTTAGGACTTGGGGTGGAGTTTAGGGTTTGGGGATTTGAGGTTTAGGATTTGGGCTTTTGGGTTTTGGGGTTTGGGGTTTAATTACGTGTTTAGGGGATGGTTTAGAGGTTAGGGTTTAGGGTCGAGGGTTTGCTCGAATTGGCGCGGAAGCTGTGAAGGCTGGGATGCAGACTCGCTTCGAAAGCTTCGTGTCTTGGCCCGATAGTGGAGGGCCGTCTAACACTGAGAGTCTACGATACCTTGGACCCTCAAGGTTTAGGGTTTAGGGTTTAGGGGTTCAGGGGTTTAGGGGTTTAGGGTTTTGGGTTTTGGGTTTTGGGTTTTGGGTTTAGGACTAAGGGAGGGACCCTTACAACAGAACTTAGGGGTTATTTGGGGGTTGTTTAGGGGCTAGTTAGGTTTATAGGGACTTTACGGGGCTCCCTCCTTGTACCCCTTACACGTTTATCCCACCCCGCGCCCTCTCAAGCGGCAAAGCCACCAAAACCTCTTCCTTGTAGGGTGTAGGCCTAAACTCACGTCAACAGCCCACTTCCACAAACTTCTTCCGTTCCAGGGAGTCTCGTGTCAGGGGTTGCAGTTCCAGGGGGTCCGGGCCCAAAAGCCTTATAAAGCCCTCAGTGAGTCCTGTAAGCCCTTAAAAGGGAAAACCACTAAACATTCCAGGTATTTGAGAGGCCGGGGGAGCTCCGAAGGGAGGGGGGAGGGGGGAGGTTTTAGGCTTGGCTTTAGGCTTTAGGCTTTAGGGTTGAGACTTAGGAGTTTGCTTGAGGGTTGGGGGGGTTCGGTTTCTTTCTTTTTCTTGGTAGGGTTTTGCGTATTTCGGGTTTGGGATAAGGAGGGTTTGCCGTGGAGGACTCTTTCAGGGTGCAGGCGCTCTTGGCGTGCCTATAGCCCCCTTGCACACACTAAACCCTTAACCCCAAGAACTCCAAACCTAGTCAAGCCCAAAAAACTCTACACCCACAACTTTCAACCCTAATCCCCCGGTAGGTACATGGTCCCTTAATATATAATCCCCAGAACATAAGGGTATGTACATGGTCCCTTCATCGTCTTAAAGGGTTCTGAGACAAACCCAAAACCCTAAACCCTAAACCCTGAGACCCTGAGACCCTAAACCCTAAACCCTAAACCTAAACCCTAACCCGAAACCCGAAACCCTAAACCCTAAACCCTAAACCTCCAGGCAGAACGCAGAGAGCCTGCCCCTCGCGGCTCGCAGCCGCTGCTGCCCGGAGGAGGACGAGAAGCTGAAGCGCCAGGAACGCCTCCACGGTTTTAGGGTTTTAGGGCATAGGGTTTTTAGGGTTTTTTAAGGTTTAGGGTTTAGGGTTTAGGGTTTCGGGCTTAGGGTCATGAGACTGCATGTGGGCCCGCTGGTTCCGGCCCGCCGCGCACCTCCATCGCTACCGAGCCCAGCCACGCAAACGCCTGCCACCAGGATGCTGGGAGTGTGTACAGCATGTCAGGGCCCTAGACCCTAAACCCAAAGCCCTGAACCCTAAACCCTAAACCCTGAACCCTAAAACCCTAAACCCTGAACCCTAAACCCTGAAGCCTAAACCGTGACCACATACAATTTCGATCTATCCTGGTCTTGAGGGTTTCGGGTATTTAGGGTTTGGGGCCCGAACACGAAATTGCCAAAACACCCTTAAACCCCTTGAACACCCTACGCAAGCCCAAACCCCTCGGGCGTTAACTGGGAAGCCCAAGACTCGCCACCAAAACTAAGACTTATGCATGGAAACACTTTCGAAGTCCGTCAAAAGTCGATCGTATGTGCTCATTGCATGGCTCAGGCATGTGCATGTATCCATGCATGTATATGAACTTTCAATCACAACTTACTCTCTCTCTCTCTCTCGCTATGAAACTGTAAGTAGAGGGCTTCAATGATTCTAGGAGGTTTTCGAATCTGAATCATGATTTGTAGCTTCGCATGGGGAGTGGTCATAACGGAGGTCTCCATTTTCTTTTGTACAGTAGGAAGTTGACGGTGTCCAGCCACATTGCAAATTCAGCCATTGACATGACAGGGCTGCCACGCACGTGGCAGAGAAAGGGGGACGAGTCACAGAGTGCTAGCCTAAACCCTAAACCCTAAACCCTATGGCCCCACAAAGGAACTTCGAGCGAAAGAGAGGGTGGTCATCCTCGCCCCATCACCCTTTGAGGAGACGGCTTTCATCCAGAACCCTAAACCCTAAACCCTAAACCCTAAACCCTAAACCACAATCCACCAGATACTGCTTGACCTTCGGAAACTCAGACAAAGCTCCACCTGGCGCGCCTGGCATAAAGGTTGTGGTGGTCTTTTTCTGCCTTTCAAACAGACAAACATGCATGCCAATGTATGTATGGCTACTCTGGGCCATTCCTGCTAATGACGAGGCGGCCCACATACGCAGCCTGCAAGACGCAGAGGAACCTGACCCTAGAAACTTGTACATCGTTGACAACGCCCAAAGCCTTCAAATCCCTGCAACCCGAAAAACCCTAACCGTAAACCTTAAAGCCTTGTGATAACCAGGAACCCTTAAACCTGTCAGCAACCCTAAACCCTAAACCCTAAACCCCAAACCCTAAGCCCCGTACCCTAAACCCTAAACCCTGAACCCTAAACCCCGGCCTGGAATGGGACCCAATTGTCAGCAAACCAGGCGTACCTGACTGAGGCTTAGGGGCTCACAGATTTAGGGTTTAGGGTTTAGGGTTTAGGGTTTAGGGTTTAGGGTTTAGGGTCTAGGTCAGTCTTCCTCGTCTTCTCCCAAGAGTTGGGCCTGCTTTGAATGATGGCGCCGCCGCAGCCCTAAACCCTAAACCCTAAACCCTAAACCCTAAACCCTAAACCCTAAACCCTAAACCCTAAACCCTAAACCCTAAACCCTAAACCCTAAACCCTAAACCCTAAACCCTAAACCCTAAACCCTAAACCCTAACCCTAAACCCTACTCACAACTTCCAGGGTATGTTCGGCTTTCAGTCGCCCAGTTTTGCGGTGCCTGGCAGTATAGGGCCTGTTCTTAGATCGGATGGAGAAACCCTAAACCCTAAACCCTAAACCCTAAACCCTAAACCCCAATTAAATCGCCTCAAAAAGCCCAACCCCTAACCCTAAGTCCTGAAATTGCCTGTGTTCACCGCGAACTGCAGCAAGGTGTAAACATGTGTAAACCCGAAGAATTTTGGCCGAGTTGCATGTTCCAGCGAGTGTAGAGCATTACCTCCGCATCAGGCGCAAGCTCTAGATGAATATACAGTACACGAAACCCGGTCTGGCATCTAAACCCTCCAAATATAAAAACAAAATATGGTCCTATTTCGGGGGGTTTTGGGCGATTTGGTTTTGGAGGCTTTTAGAGGATTGAAGCTGAAAGCACTGCTCCTGCCAAGCGTTGAATCCCAAATCCCAAATGCCGAGCCTCCCTATACCTCCCCTCCGTTTCGGCTTTAGGCTTCAGGCTTTAGGGTTTCGGGAAAGGTTGAGGAGCTCTCTGCGTATCAGACCCACCCTACAACCTAACCCTACTAGCCCTCAACCCTCAACGAAAACCCTCTCAAGCCCCTAACTCTTACATCCATAGCTGCCCTCCCTTTTTCCCTTAAGCCCTAAACCCTAAACCCTCCATTTCTCCCTACCCAAGCAAAGAGTCAGCAAAGTGAAGTGCTTAAGCCCGAAGCCCTACCCGAAATCCTGAATCCTCGACCCTAAGCGTCCTCAAACCCTGACACCCTAAGCCCTAGCCCTACAAGCCCTTCAAAACCTACAGAGCCTGCAAAACCTACAAAGCCTACAAACTAACCCCAAAGACCCTAAAGACCCACAAACCCCAAACCCCAAAACCAAAAGAAAATCCTTTAGAAACGTTTAACAAAACACACACACACACACACACACACACACACACACAACACGATAAACCCTAAAACAACGTCAAACAAAAACGAGAAAACCCTTTAGAAGACGCACAAAACCTGAAAAAGAAAAAAAAAAAAAAACTAAAACTAAAAACCCTACGCCCTTGCCAAAATGCCCTGGTTCTTAGTAGGAAATGAGGGAATTAGGGCCCCATATATATATATATATACCCTTTAAGGGATTATATAGGGTACCTCATTCCCTCATTCCCTACTAAGAACCAGCCAGTTACCCTAAACCCCAAACCCCAAACCCTAAACCCTAAACCCTAAACCCCCAGAAGGTGGGCGCCCAGCGGGGGGGCCTCCTGGGATGCCACCGCAGAAGCCAAGACCCAAGGCAGAGGCCACGAAGCTCCAGCCTTCTGAGCTGTAGATAGGGTTTAGGGTTTAGGGTTTAGGGTTTGTGGGTTTAGGGTTTAGGGCTTAGGGTCCAGGGCTTAGGGCTTTGGTGGCCTTTAGTGCCTTTAGTGACTTACAAACCCTAAACCCCAAAACCCTAAACCCCTAAATCCCTAAACCCCTAAATCCCTAAAAACCCTACAACGCCTACAACCCCAAAACCCTAAACCCTGAACCCTAAATCCACCCCTCCCCTACACCCCCCACCCCCCCCGGCCTCCTCAGTGTCGCCGTAGAACCAGGGCCGCGAGCCCATCAACTGGGCAAGCATGCTGCCAGGGCGCGGGTGGCCCAAAACCCTGAAAACCCGAAACCCTGGAACCCCTGAACTCCAAATCCAAACCCTGAACCCTGAACCCCGAACCCTATAAACCCTGAACCCTGAACCCTATAAACTCCAAGCCCTAGAAGAGCCGCAACGTAACACATGTGTATGGGCATGTGTGCATGTGTGCACGCATGTATGCATGTATGCATGTATGCATGTATGCATGTATGCATGTGTGCATTTGTGCATGTGTGCATGTGTGCATGTGTGCATGTGTGCATGTGTGCATGTGTGCATGTGTGCATGTGTGCATGTGTGCATGTGTGCATGTGTGCATGTGTGTGTGTGTGGTGTGTGTGTGTGTGTGTGTGGTGTGTGTGGTGTGTGGTGTGTGTGGGTGTGTGGGTGTGTGTGTGTGTGTGTGTGTGTGTGTGGTGTGTGGGGTGTGGGTGTGTGTGGTGTGTGTGTGTGTGTGTGTGTGTGTGTGTGTGTGTGTGTGGTGTGTGTGGTGTGTGTGGTGTGTGTGGGTGTGGGTGTGGGTGTGGGTGTGGGTGTGGGTGTGGGTGTGGGTGGGGTGTGGGGGTGTGGGTGTGGTGTGGGTGTGGGTGTGGGTGTGGGTGTGGGTGTGGGTGTGGGTGTGGGTGTGTGTGTGTCTGTGTGTCTGTGTGTTGTCTGTGTCCTCTGTGTCTCTGTGTCTCTGTGTCTCTGTGTCTGTGTGTCTGTGTCTCTGTGTGTCTGTGTCTCTGTGTGTCTGTGTCTCTGTGTGTCTGTGTCTCTGTGTGTCTGTGTGTCTGTGTGTCTGTGTGTCTGTGTGTCTGTGTGTCTGTGTGTCTGTGTGTCTGTGTGTCTGTGTGTCTGTGTGTCTGTGTGTCTGTGTGTCTGTGTGTGCATGAACCTTTAACCCAAGTAACCCAAACCCTTAGCTCTGTGGCATTCGGTCTTAGGTCTGAGGGTTTTCGAGCTGATTGAAGGTCTTAGGGTCTCGGGCTTAGGGTATCGCCAGGGCACCGCCAAGAAGGCCAGAGAGAAGAGACCTTGGATTCGTCAATCGAATCGGCCGCGGCCTCTAAACCCTGTAACCTTCTACGGGTAGTTTCAGTTCCCCTAAACCCTAAACCCCAAACCCTAAACCCTAAAACCTACATTCTCAACCCTAAATCCTCAAAACTAGGGTCCTATAGCAAGGAGTGAACTGTAGGGAAGCTTTGGGAGCCTCAGGGAGTAGTGGGGAGCAATCATTAGGGAACCTTGGCCCGCCTCCCTTCAGTACCTCATTGTACGTTAAGGGTACAGGGCTTAAGGGCACAGAGGGTACAAGGTACAGGGAGTTGGGTTTCCGAGGCCCTCATTTATACCTGAGTTTTTTCGCCGCAAAGGCTCCCAGTCGAATCTGGAACGGAAAGGACGCGACGAAGTCCCAGGTGAGTGGTTGGTACCTGGTCATGCCATGAGCCCTAATTATAGGGATCCTTAGGGTGGGATAACCCGAGGTTCCCGAATACTCCCCACTGCTCCCTAAAGCTCTCTACGCTTCCCTAAAGTTCCTTCGAATCTGAGTACTCGACTAGTTGCGCTTCAAACCCCTTGAAGCTACTTTTTGAGTGGTCCCCGTTTCTCAAGAATGTAGGGAGATTGAACAACAATGCTACAAGCTCCTTCCTACCCTAAACACTACACCCTAAACCCCTGCATCTGCTATCTGCTTCAGAACACCCCTCCCAAAAAAAATAATTTTAAAAAACAATCATGGAAGAAAAGAACAATACTTTCCTCCTGACAAGGGCAATATAGGGATCGTTGTTTTCCGTGTTTTTGGGCTGCTTAGGTAAATAGTAGTAATATGCCGTTCCTAAACCCTAAACGCTAAACACTAAACCTTGAACCCTAAACCCTAAACCCTAAACCCTAACTAAACCCTAAACCCTAAACCCTAGACCCTAAAGCCTGTTTGCAGTTGGTGGGGAGGCAGCCGGGGCTTGCACAGGATGGTGTCTCGAGAATGGAGTCCATGGGAGGCCATGGGGCAGGGTTGAGGGATTAGGGTTTAGGGTTTAGGGCTTAGGGTTCAACAGGGCCTAAACCCTAAACCAAAAACCCCAATCCACACTGAACCCTGAACCCAAAACCCTAAGCCCTAAAATCTGGGCCTCCGAGCCAGTAAGTAGGTTCAGGTGTATATGGTTAAAGCTATCGAATTTTGTTTTTGGGTTACGGCCTTTTCGTCTCATGAGCCCTGCAAGTCTTCAGCCCTCAGCCTTGACCCCTGAATGCCTTAAACCCTAAGCCACTAAACCCGAAATCCTCTAAACCCCTGAACCGCTGAAACTCTAAAACCTAAGCCCTAAATATGCCAAACCCTAAACCCCGCCTAAGCCCCTTAAGAACCCTAAACCCTAAACGCTATAAGTTTGAGGCATTAGCGCCGCCCTGGCTTTGCAAGTTCAACCATCAGCTGGCGCGATGAGGAGCTAAAGGGTTTAAGGTTTAGGGTTTAGGGTTTAGGGTTTAGGGTTTAGGGTTTAGGGTTTAGGGTCTTACGGCGAGGCGCTGCTGATAGTGCACAGCAAAGTGGAGTCCATGCTCTTCACCGTAGTCGAAGAACTGCCTCTTGGGGTCGTTACAGGGTCCCGTAGGTTTAGGGTTTAGGGTTTTAGGGTTTAGGGTTTAGGGTTTAGGGTTAGTTTAGGGTTTAGGGTTTTCGGGTCCTGAAGCGGGGACCCATTCTACACCCCTTGCAGTCCCTATAAAACCCTAGGGCCCATACTTTAGAACCCTGTAAAGACGGAATGACACTACTCTTAGACTGCCTGGCAGGCTCAGAAGCGTATGGCCAGGGATTCTGTTGAGGTATAAAAGGTGGAAACTGGGGTACCTTACCCTAAGGGTCCAGGTACCTAAATATTGAATACTTAGGCCTTAAATTTCTTCCTATATAGGGACTTTGGGGCCCAAGTATATATAATAATGATGTACATGGACTGTTAGGGTTATTGCGAAATCAGAAAGAACCCCTATACAAAAAGGAGAGGTCCCAGGGGCTGTTGATATACGGGACTTTGCTTGCGCCTGCACATGCACACTACCTGGCAACTGACTTCTTATATCATGCCACGGCACGCAATGCCGTGAGCCGGGACACGGAATCCGCCGTGGATGCACAGGTCGCCTGCGCAGCCGCAAGCTGCGCACCGCGCGCCTCCTTCAGCCTCATCCCCGTGTCCTCGCGTTGTTGCGCCTCGGTCTCCTCCAAAAGGCGAGGGGTGCCGTGGGCACGCAAGGCCGTGAGCACCGCTTCTGTCTCTTCCAGCGTGCAGCATCTTGCCACGCCCAAGCACACCCCAAAAGAGTCTACAGACCCAAAAAGAATCCAACAGGACGGAAAAAGCCTAAACCCCCTACACCACATATATGGGTTTGTATTTTAATGGGGAGGCGCGTGACACGTGTTGGGGTCGGGGTATGTTTCGCGGGTATGTTTCGGGGTATGTTTCGGGGTATGTCTCGGGGGTATGTTTCGGGTATGTTTCGCGGCATCAGGAGCTACTTTACCTGCAATTTCGGGGGTATGTTACGGGGTATGTTTCGGGGGTATGTTTCGGGGTATGTTACGGGGTATGTTTCGCGGGTGTGCAACCCGTGCGCCATTCTTAAACCTGAGCCCCCCAAAAAAACACAAACCCATATCCACATATCAAGAGCTCCCTAGCCTCCAACACGCACTTGAGAGCGAAAATAGGAGTACCCTTTTCGGCAGGGGGGGGTGTGGGGCGGGGAGTCCCACAATAAGGAATATAACAACTTGGGGTACAATTATCTTGGGTGAACCTTAAACCTGAACCCTAATTAAACCCTGCACCCTAAACCTAAACCGTGCAAACAACGGCGGCTGTTCAATCTTTACCTCCCTGAGAAGGGCGCATGTATCTATGTAGTGTATATACTTCGGCCATAAAGGGCTTCCCCTTAAAACCTTAGCACACAAATTATGTGTTTTAAAAAATATTCCCTTGGGCTTTAAGTACGTAAATCATAATTCTTAAGGGGGCTAGTGGCTTTAGGGCCCAAATGAATACGGTTTAGGTACATGGGCCCTCAGGGTCTGAATTGTCTGAAAACCCGGCCCCAAACCCAACACCCTTGACAACAGCTTCCAGCCATGGCCTTGCTTAGGGCCGGGTCTAGGGTTTAGGGCTAAGGGTTTGGGGTTAAGGGTTTAGGGTTTAGGGTTTAGGGTGGGGCTTTGGAGTTAGGAGTTACGTGGCTTAGAGCTCGATTCCCTACACGCTTCTACAGAGCGTCCCAAAGTCCCCATCATGGGGTTTGTTCGAGACAGCTACCTGAGGAGAGTTCCCAGCTAGGGTTTAGGGTTTAGGGTTTAGGGTTTAGGGTTTAGGGTTTAGGGTTTAGGGTTTAGGGTTTAGGGTTTAGGGTTTAGGGTTTAGGGTTTAGGGTTTAGGGTTTAGGGTTTAGGGTTTAGGGTTTGGGGTTTGGGGTTTAGGTTTAGGGTTTAGGGTCTAGGGTCTAGGGTTTAGGGTTTAGGGTTTAGGGTTTAGGGTTTAGGGTTTAGGGTTTAGGGTTCAGGGTTTAGGGTTTAGGGTGCAGGATTTAGGGCTTCGGGCTCAATTCGGGCTCAAAGTTTCGGATTTAGGGCTTCATGCGGCTTGCTACTGTTGAAGGGGTATGTACGCGCGCTGTGTAGTCACAAGAGGACACAGTACAGAAGGGCTATACCAGCAACCTGAAACAGTTCCAGAGATGTGTTTTTGGGTTTATCCTGAACGCAGGTGATCATCCTCATAGCGCAAGAAGATCTTGATGAGTCTCACCGAAAGCTGACGAAGTGTTTTTCGGAATCTGTTTGCTTGAACGCCCTTCTCCAAATAACAACACTGAGATAAAGCAACACTCCCGAGCAAACCAGTGTAGGGTTTAGGGTTTTAGGGGATTAGTGTTTAGGGTTTTGGGAACGTAGGCTTTAGACGCGGTCCGAAACTTCACTTGAAACCCTACCTAAACCCGAGATGCCTGAAGATCAGCGGAAACACCCGCCACGTGATGTCGTCCTCCGTGCCTCGCTTGGGTTTAGGGCGTTTAGGGTTTAGGGTTTCGGGTTTAGGGTAAGGGGTTGAAGGTTTGCCAAATGCGAGTGTAGGGCTTGTAGGGTTAGGGTGCAGAGTATCGGCCGCTCATCAAACCGACTGAGCCGAAAAAACATTCTTTCTTGCAATGCAGGAGAAGACTGGTTCTCCCAACACCCTCAAGCAACACCCTTGAGCCCCTCAGCCCGCACTTGTTTACAGCTTGGGCCTTAGGCTTAGAGGTTTACCAGTTTGGGTTTAGGGTTTAGGGTTTAGGGTTTAGGGTTTAGGGTTTAGGGCTTAGGGGTTAGGGGTTAGGGTTTAGGGTTTAGGGTTTAGGGTTTAGGGTTTAGGGTTTAGGGTTTAGGGACGGGGTTTGGGGCGCCCAAGCCGAGGCGCAGGAAGGTGGGGCGCAGATGCCGAGGTCGGCTTTGAGGAACTGAGTTCCCAGCCTCGGGAGAGGTTTAGGGTTTAGGGTTTAGGGTTTAGGGTTTAGGGTTTAGGGTTTATGGATTATTGATTTAGGTACCTCCCTAGACACAACTCTGCGGGGCTTTTGGTATGAAGGGCTTAGAAGACTACACGCATAAGGCCTGAGGGGGCTGCAGGGGTTGCAGCGCTTCCGGCTTGAGGGCTTGTAGGTTCTCACGCCATCATCGTCGTTCATCCCTGAAGCTCTAAACCTCTGAACCATTGCAGGGTCCATCCTAAATCATAAAACCCTAAACCTAAACACCAACCCTACACCCTCAACCCTAAACCCTGAACCCGGAACCCTAAACCCCCAAACCCTAAACCCTGAACCCTGAACCCTGAACCCTAAACCCTAAACCCTGAACCCTAAACCCTAAACCCCAGCCAATTGTTTAAACTCTGCAATCCTTGTTTGGCTCTGGGGGTGGCTTTTAGGGTTTGGGGTTTAGGGGTTTAGGGGTTTAGGGGTTTAGGGGTTTAGGGGTTTAGGGGTTTAGGGGTTTAGGGGTTTAGGGGTTTAGGGGTTTAGGGGTTTAGGGGTTTGGGGGTTTGGGGGTTTGGGGGTTTGGGGGTTTAGGGTTTAGGGGTTTAGGATTTGGGGTTTAGGGTTGAGGGTTGAGGGTTTAGGGGCTTGGTGTTTAGGAGTTTAGGGTTTGGGGGTTTGGGGTGTAGGGGTTTCGGGTTTTGGGGTTTTGGGGGCTTACTTCAGGATTTTGATTTTCAAGGCTCCAATTTTAGTGTTTCCAAACTTCCGTGGCTCATGGTTCTAGTGCCTCCTGAATCCCTGACTCAATAACTAACTCAATGAGAGCCCTGAACCCTAAACACTAAACCCTAAACCCTGAACGCACAAGTTGAAAAGACCGCCAGTCGAGAGCTGCGGGCCTCAACGGCACGCCCTCAAATAATCCACCAGGCAGGACTTCAATTTCCTAACCCTAAGCCCTAAACTCCACACTAAACCCCCAAACCGAAACCCTAAAAACCCTCAACCCTAAACCCCACACCCTATACCCTAAACACTAAACCCCAAACCCTAAGCTATACTGAACTTGGAACCCTAGCAAAAATGATCATTTCAGCTGTTTCTGAGGAATTAAAGTACCCAGAAAATAGAATGTATTTCCGACTACCCCTAAGAAACCCTAAACCCTGAACCCCAAACCCTAAACCCTAAACCCTAAACCCTGGCCCTAAACCCTAAACCCTAAACAACAAAACACCACAGATCCCTCCATGCAAGCGGCATGGTAAAGTAGAAGCGTCCACCACCGTCCTGGGCAGAGCAGCACCCGTTTGCCGCAAGCCCCATAGAACTCTACACCTTAAACCCGAGACCCCTAACTAGGGTTTAGGGTTTAGGGTTTAGGGTTTAGGGTTTAGGGTTTAGGGTTTAGGGTTTAGGGTTCAGGGTTCAGGGTTTGGGGTTTAAGGTGTAGGGTTACACCCGTAGCCCCTGTAATTCTGTAATCCATGGAGCCCAAAACCCTAAACGTCAGGAGCGCCGTAATTACAGCGCCACACTGCCACACCAAGTAAAATCCAGATCCAGGGCTCAGGGTTTCGGGTTCAGGGTTACGGTTTAGGGTTTAGGGATGTTTTCTTTTGGGGGTTGTTGGGCTTTTAGGGTTTAGGGTTTAGGGGTTAGGGTTTAGGGTTTAGGGTTTAGGGTTTAGGGTTGAGGCACCCTAGAGGGCTCAGGGTTTCGGGGCCCTTAACTAACGCGTGGCCGCGGCACCAAGCAGGTGCCGTGGAAGCCCTCTTGCTGCAAGATGTTCCAGCCGTCATTCGCCCAAATCGCCGCCGAGTTGGCCTGCAACAGGGTGCCCGCCGGCCGTTCGGGGTTTAGGGTTTAGGGTTTAGGGTTTAGGGTTTAGGGTTTAGGGTTTAGGGTTTAGGGTTTAGGGTTTAGGGTTTAGGGTTTAGCTCTGAGGCTTGGGGCTTGGGTTTAGGGTTTGGGGTTTGGGGTTTAGGGTTGAGTGTTGAGGGTTCGGGTTTGGGTTTGGGGTTTGGGGTTTAGGGTTGAGCGTTGAGGGTTCGGGTGTGGGGTGACCGCAACGGGCCCCGAACCCTAGACCTAAGCACCCCCACATCTATTGGAAACCGGATGGGGGGAGAAGGTTTAGGTCCCAAAAATAGCAAGTATTTGGGGGATGCAAGTAGCCCGAAACCCTAGGCCCTAAACCCTATATCCTGAACCCTAAATCCTAAACCCTAAGCCCTTAACCCTAAACTCAAAGGCTTTCTGGGGGGGCCTTGTAGTGGATGTGTGCGTTCCAGTACTCCTCGAGGCAGTGGGCGTTGAAGCGCCGATCCATGGCAATGGCAAGCGCGGAGGTTTTTGGGGTTTAGGAAGTTTAGGGTTGAGGGTTTAGGGTTTTTAGGGTTTATAGGGTTTAGAGTTTAGGGTTTAGGTTGAGGGTTGAGGGTTGAGAGTTGAGAGTTGAGGGTTTAGGAATTTTAGGGGTCAGGATTTAGGGTTTAGGGTTGAGTTTGCCCTAGACACATGTCTTGTCTAAATCAAACTGTTCATGGTGCAGGAATAATTGGGGTTTCGGAGTTTAGGGGTTGTAGGTTTGGCAGACACCCCTTTACGTTGCTAACCATTAAGGCTTACTCTAGAATACTTGCATAACTCAAGTATTTGGGCGACCTAAACTACTTTGTATTTGAGTGCCCCTCCCTTCAGGGCTTATGATGCATGTCGTGAGGACCAGAGGCGAGGGTCGAGGGTATAGAAGCTTCTGGGGTTCTGGGGTTTAGGGTTTAGGGGCCCTAAACCCTAAATCCTACACCCGAAACCCTAAACCCTAAACCCTAAACCCAAAACCCTACACCAAGGAATTCTATGAATGTTAGGGAATGATATAGGTTCAGGCTGCTAGGCCCGCAGCTGCGTTCAGGCCATGCTATGCCTGAAGCCCTGTAAGCCGCGAATTGGGGGGAGGGGGGGTGGAGGACCTCCCGCATGCACCTAAACTAGACCCGGGAGTAACCTTGGAATCAAAGGGTACCCTTTTTGGTTGTAAGGGGGTTATAAGGGAACCCCAACCCTAACAAAAAGGAAAAACGGGCCAGTCCTAGTAAAGTAGGGTCTGAAAAGGGCGGTTCGGATGTCTAGGGCACCCACCCCACCCCCTTAAATTGCTACGAGCTCCCCCGTTCTGCCATGGCTGGGGCTTTGAAGGGAAACACACAAGGGTTTAGGGTTTAGGGTTTAGGGTTTAGGGTTTGGGGTTTGGGGATTAGGGTTTAGGGTTTAGGGTGAGGCGCAAAAACCCCTGCAGACAGTATGGGCGTTTCCCGACGATTCGGGGTGCCCTTGTTAAGGGCCTTTCTACATTCAGGATGATCGTTCTTTGGGGGTCAAGTGGGGGTACCCCTCTTTTGGGAAATGCCCATATTGCCTCAAGCGTGCAGGCCCTCCGGTTGAATCAGCTTTTGGCTGGGTGGCCCAGACCCTAAACCCTAAACCCTGAACTCTAAACCCTAAACCCAGATGATCATCGCCGGGCTCTGAAGGTATGGCTCGGCCTATGAGTTGGCTTGAGGGGGGCTGGAAGATGCGACCCTCGACTGGACAAATTCAAACATGCCCGGCATCGTTCTTTCTTTCGTTCTTTCTTTCTTTCCTTCTTTCTCGCTTGCTTTGTTTATCTCTCTCTCTCTCTCTCTCTCTGGCCTCTGTCTTCTGCAGTGTGTACGTATGCGTACATCTCCTAAGAAATGCGGTTGCTACCTCCCTCAGATGGCCAAACCCTGTTGATGATAGCCCCCCGCCCCAACCCCCAAATGCTAAACCCTAGACCCTAGACCCTAAACCCTAAACCCTAAACCCTAAACCCTAAACCCCAAACCAAGAAAGACTGCTTTCCTTTTCTGGCGAGGGGTGCACGGCGGAGATCTTTGCCCGCATCACGCGTGGAAGCTGCAGATCCATGTGGGGGTTTCCGGTTTAGGGTTTAGGGTTCAGGGTTGAGGGTTTAGGGTTGTCAAAATTATGGTCCCTTTTTGGATCCCTACTAAAATGCGGCACCAAATATTTGGGGTACCCCAAAAGGGATCATATTCTTGACAGCCACCCATGCGGGGGTTTAGGGTGTAGGGTTTAGGGTTTAGGGCTTAGGGTTTAGGGTTTAAGGTGTAGGGTTTAGGGTTTAGGGATCTAGAGAATGAAATGTATATAGGCGTTAGGCCTCTATTGTACCAAGTAGGCTGCTATATAGAAGTTGTTGTAGTTTATGTTTCCAACAGGGACACATGATTGAGGTCGGCCGCCATGTCACGCCACGGTTCGGGCTCAGGGTTTAGGGTTTAGGGTTTAGAGTTTAGCAGCCGGCCTAAGCTGTGTAGACTGTATAGTTAGGTTTTTTTGAGGGCACCCATACACTTGTAGTGGTTTTTTGGAGAAATACCAGGACGCTACTAGAATTGGAACGATGTGCAGGCTTGAAAGCATTCTTTGGGCAGCAGCGGCCCGCTAAAAACAGAAGCACGCTGTTGAGGGCATAGTCTAGGCGCTGCAACCTACGTAGTCTAGGAGGGTAAAAAATTGTTAACCGGCATGGCAGCGAGCCGAGTTCTAAATATTCTTGCATTTAACAACAAAAAACCGTCTGAACCCAAAAAGAAAAAGTTTACCGGCAAAAAGCTGAATTTGTTAAATTGATACTTGGTTGCGGCAATAAGTTTAATGCACGTTGATACGCCCCGAATACAATGACTCCTTAGAAGTATTTGGGGCTACTTTAGGCTTGTAGGGTTGTATATGGAGTTGAGGGGGAAACCCGAAACCCGAAACCCTAAACCCTAAAAGCCTATAAGCCTCTAAAGCCTAAAGCCTAAAGCCTAAAGCCTAAAGCCTAAAGCCTAAAGTCTAAAGCCTAAAGCCTAAAGCCTAAAGCCTAAAGCCTAAACCCTAAACCCTAAACTGAAACGACCAAGGAAAAAACCGGAAACCTGCAGCTACCACGCACACCTCTCATGCACCTGGGCTGGCCCATCCTCGTCGTACTCGTCGCCTTGTGCTGGCTGAAGTAACACCCTAAACCCTAAACCCTAAACCCGAAACCCTAAACCCTAAACCCTAAAACCCTAAAACCCTAAACCCTCCGCAGCTCCTAAACCGACAACCCTGAAGATCTGGGTCAATCATATTACAATATTGTGGGGGGAGGGGGCGGGGGGGGCGGCGGT